TAGTTACGACTAATTGTAATCATATACTACATAATCCATAACAGAGTTGTTGTTCTAGTGAGATTGAGAATTAAAATGAGAAGTGTAAGAAAGATCTCCATCCTTGAATGTATATTAAGATGAGATGTACCAGATCAATCCTCGCATCAAACTTAATTCATAAATAACTTTTAAGATTAAAGATGATCAAGAATCCAAATCAATTCTTATATTTTTCATTTTAACTCTTTTTTTTATACGATATTTCGTGACGTATAGAAAAAAAAAAAAGATGAACCACATGGGCATCATTCCGGGGTAAAAAGATAAGGAGACGCAATGATGAATATGGGGGGTTTAGTGGAGCACGCTCTCTTGCACGTGACCAACTCCATCCAATATTTGAATAAAAATAAAAAACAATTAATTGGTATTTCCTCGTTGAGATTTTTTGTTAATTAAATATAAAAAAGACGGAAAATACATGCACACTTCTAGTTTTGTGTGTGTTTCACGTTTTCAAAAATATTTAATCAATTTACGGGGATTTGGTCGAGGTTGCGTCCATGAATGTATGTATATAACAAATCATATATTTGTTAGTAGTTTAATGGATTTAATGAGATTTATATTTATTCGATCAGTTACATAATTGTTTAATAATGGTTTAATGATACAGAAAGTGGTTTATTCAGTATTTAATAGGTTTTTAAAGAAAGTTTTATGTTGAAACCCATTTTTTTCCTTCCAAATCTACCCTTCAAATTAGGGGTACTCAAAAACCCGACCAACCCGATCAATACAATATAACTCAACCCAACGCGAAATAACTCAATCTGATGTCTAATCGAGTTGTAAAATTGTTAAACCGTATGTATTGTGTTGATATTGAGTTACTATTATTTGTGAAGGGTTTTCTAGCCCTATAGGAATATACAAACATACATGTGGCAGCGGAAATAAACACACGAAAATTCATATGGCAAGCATTCACTCTAAACCCTATAAAGGATGCTAGCCTAATGATTATAAGCAACACAACAATAAAAGAAAGGGAATAATTACCTCTAACAGTCTAGCTGTCTTCTTTACTCAAGCCAGTTGAAAGACTTGAAGATCCTCACACGCTGAGATGCAAGTGTCCAAAGTAGAACACCTCAAATGGTTCACACCCAATAGACCCTTAAAGATTAAATAGGAACCCTTGATTTAGCCTTCTAATAAGATACCGAATGCGAGAGAGGAAAGAAAGAGAACTTCTAGATCACAAGGAAGCCTAGAAGTGGGATTAGGCATGGTGATTTGACCCGACCCGGTGCGGAACCCGGTTCACCGGACCCGAACGGGGACGAGGATTCCCCGCTAAAACGAGTACCGGGTCCGGGGCCGGGGATCCCCGGTAGAGGCAAACCGGGGCTGGGGCCGGGGCCGGGGCCGGGTATTGTATCCCCCGACCTGCCCCATACCCGGTATATTAAAAAAATCATAATTCATAAATAAGTCCATTGGGCTTTGGTTATAGTTATATGGAAATTGGGCCTTGGCTTTGACATTGATTTTGGCTTTGAGTCTAGACACCATCGCCTTCCTTCCACCCTTCCCCAGTTCGGCAGTTCCCCACTTCCCCTAACCCCTTCACTCTTCACGACTGACGGCTTTCCCCAACCCTAAATCCCAATTCTTCTTCCCGGCGCCGGTTGCCTTCCCCTTCTTCACGGCTCACCAGTAAGCGACTAAACGGACTAAGCGCCTTCCGACCCTTCCCCTTTACGGCGCCTTCCCCTTCACGGTGTTGCCAGACACTCGTCCTTGTCTCGTGGACCTTCGACCTTCGACAGTCATCCAGTCGGTGCGTTCTTCCTTCTTCCAGTGAGCAGTGAGCACAACTGCACAGTGAACAGTGACAGCCGCCACCAGTCCACCACACCACTACACCAGTCGTCTTCTTCGAGAGTTCGAGGTCGGTAACTGTTTGTTGACCAGATGTTGACCGGGTGTTGACCAAAATTTGACCGGGGCCGAAAAGTTATTCCCCGTACCCGCCGGGGACCGGGGCCGGGGCCGATGGCTATAAACCGGGGCCGGGGACGGGGATTGCAAACCCCGCCCCATACCCGCCCCGTTACCATGCCTAAGTGGGATGCCTAAAATGAAAGGGAAGACCTTGATTTATAGTGACAAGGGAGTGCCATGGTTTGATGTTTGGGGCGCTGTGGGATGCCCAAACACGCCACCATGGCCTCTTCCATCCTTTTTCACTATAATTCATTTTCCCTTCAGTTTCTTTCTATTTGATAATTAATTAATCTCTCTTTATTAATTAATTAATTTCTTTTAGTTTCTAATTAATTTATTACTCAATAATAAATTAACAAACTAAATGATATCTCCTCTTTCTTATCCTTAGTTAATACTTAGGGTTATTGAGGGCAACCCAAATGGGACTATGCTAATAATGGAAAGCTTCCCAATATAGAAACCTCTCAAAATAGAAAGTTTCCACAAATAGTTATGATGTTGGACACTATTCCAACAATTTGAACCCAACCCAACCCGATAAACCCAATATCCTTTTATTTTTTGGATTTAATATGATTATTGAATTTCTATTAATGTATAAATTAGACAATTACACTATCATGTAAACTCTTCATATATACATATTTTCAATCTATTCACATATCTATATATATAACTCATTCGTAATATATGTTCAATAACTATAAACATATATATATAAATTGAGAAAATTAACTGAATGTAATATACGTAATAAATATGGATACGTTGTATTAAATGGTTGATGATGAAAAAGAAATTATGAGTAGAGAAATAACATATTCAAGGTTAGAAGAATATTTTAACATACCAAAGTATCAACCCGACTAACTCATACGGTTTAGGTTGCACTTTGATTTGGGTTGAGTTGAGTTACGATTTTTCAGACCACAAACATTGGATTCAGTTGTTCAAATGTCTTCAACCCGATCAACCCAACCCCTGAACAACCCTACTCCAAATTATTAAACACACTCCTTCGATATATGGGAAAATCCCTCCAAACAAAAATCTTCGCAATCTATAAAAACAGATGAATCAACAAATACATCTTTATCCATATTAAACTTAATGAAAAACCAATTAAACAACCCAAATATAATAAACATGAACCAATGTATCTTAAATAATAACCCAAAATGTTACCATAAGTATAAAAAACATTGTTATAAATTATAATTTTTCTTATAGTATAAAAACAATTAGGACTAGTAAATCAATACCATTATTGGATTTGGAGGTAGGATGTGTCTTAATCAATACAGGCTTAAAACAACGCAATTATGATTGGGCTTAATAAGAAAGAGCTAGTTTTAGGTCTAAAAAATCATCTTATATACTTCTATCACTAAATTTTTATTGAACTTTACCCTTGTATTCATGCATATATTCTGTCATATTCTATATATCTGGTTTTCTACCTTTTCATGAACATACATACACGTCTTATTATCACTAAACAAAAAGCATCCGATTAAATACCAATTTTATAAAAGAAATCATAAATAAATAGAGACGATCACGACAAACAAATTATTGACTACACTGATGATCAAAGTCTACATATTGGTGGTTTTTGAAGCTAATGTGCACATTTTGTTGACAATGGGAAGTATTCATTGTGCATGCTTGGTATGAAAGCAATCAAAGTCTTTTTATACAATAAGCCATCCATGTAACATAATCAAACAGTTCCAATGACAGATACTCCAAAATACTAACGACAATAACAATTTTACGTTCCAACCCCCATACACACATGTAAGTTCAAATTTCTAGAAAATTCGTACAAAATTAAAAAACACCTTAATAATCATTCACAAATGAATAGATTCAATAACTTGTAAGTTGTAAAAGATGAATATTTATTAAAATATTGGAAGGAAAAATGTGAATATTGAATGATATTTGTAAAGAAAATGTGGGAGAAAGAGAATAAAAAAGAAGTGGAAGAATCAAGTAATTGAAGGAAGAAAGCAAAGGTACCGTACACGCATCTAAAGATGGCGCGTGGGGAATGAAACCCCTTTTGGATTCTTTACCTCTTCGCCCTTCTCTTCTCCACAATTTCATTTGTCAACTACACACACAAAAACAATCCCATAATTTCTTCAATTATGATTTAAACCAATTATATTCTTCTAAAATAAACCTCTATATATTATCTCACCGATTATCTGTTTATTTTTTAATAATTTTATTAAAACCAATTTTTGAATTATTAAGAGGTAAATTTTGTTTGATAAGAATTTTTTTATAGTTTAATAGTTTTAAAACCATCTGAATAATTTTGTATCATATACCTCCCTTAATCATTCAACACTCTAATTTTATTATAAATAATTACTAAACAATTATATTTCATTTTACATTATATCATGAGAACCTCGTTAATCATGACAGGAAAACTAACCATTCGTATAAGATTACAAGTAAATTGTGTGTAAGTACAACTTATTAAAGTTCTATTTTTGAATTCGTATAACTAACTGTAGATAAACATAATCAAATACAAAATAAACATCTCATTTTAAATATAAAAAATCTAAAATATAATTAAAATAATAATTGAGTTCTAAGAGAATTATTATTTTTATAAAAAATTATTATTAAGCCAAAAATAAATTACTTTATTATTTAAATTAAATTAAATTATAATAAAAAATTAAATTAAAGTTAATTATATAAAAAATAAGAACTTTTCAATAATTAATTTGATATTAATATGTATATATTTTTTGAAAATTTTATTATATATTTAAATTTATTTTTATTCAAAAATAAAATATTATTTTTTTCAAAATCACATAAACTATATTATATTAATATAAATAAAAAATTAAAATAAAACATTAAAATAAAGTTGTATCTCATTACATATTCGTTTATAGTTATAACATTAAAATGGATGAATGTTGAGAGGTAATATAATTCAGAGAAAGTTCTGATCTGATCGTGTCCCCTCTTCTCCTCTACAAATCTCTCGATCTCCATACCGTAACCTCCCCTTCTATCTGTTATATCTAACCACCCTCAACGCACACTTTTCCATTTCTCATCAAACTCCAACAAATTCAAGGTTTTCTTCAACTCCCCATCTTTCTTTTACACAATTTCACACCTCCAATCTTACTTCAAACTTCCCCCTTTTCTTTCTCCCAATTTTCAATTGTTTCTTGATTTCCATATTAAAAAAGTTTCTTTCTTCCTACTCGTGATTTTGCAGGATGTTAAGGCCATCGATTTTCTTGTTTCAACTACGTGTTTTCTTGTGACCCAACGATTCTATCTGTAAATGGTGAAATTAGGAATTTAGGGTTTTGTTACGAAATTGAAGGGAAGATACGAGGAGTTAATTTGATCTTGAATGGGGAATAAACTGGGTAGGAGGCGACAGCTAGTGGACGACAAGTATACAAGGCCTCAAGGGTTATATCAACACAAAGACGTAGATCACAAGAAGCTTCGTAAGCTTATACTCGATTCCAAGCTCGCTCCTTGCTATCCTGGAGACGATGACTGCAGTTGCGATCTTGAAGAATGCCCAATTTGCTTCTTGGTCTGTGTTTCTGTTCTAATTCTCTATGTTTCTTGTTTCAAAGCTTTCAATATCTTGATTGAAAAATTAATCTTGTAGCTGTTCAAGATTCTATTGAGATGGTGTCTTAAACTATTAGGTTTCAATTCTATTGACATCGGAGATTGATAGCTGGAATTTGTTTCAATTATGTCTTTCTGATACATTTATATCTTTTCGTGAACCATTTTCAGTATTATCCAAGTCTAAATAGATCAAGATGTTGCACCAAAGGCATTTGTACCGGTAAATATCATGTGTTTGTCATCTGTGTTGCTCAAGTGAGGATATTTGAAAGCAATATGATTAATTTCTAACATTTTTGTTGTTCAATCAGAGTGTTTCCTGCAGATGAAGACCCCCAATTCTACTCGTCCCACGCAGTATCCTTGTTGGTGTATGATTTTCAAATTTTCATTGTTGTTGATCTTGTTAGTGTTCCAAATTATGTGGTTCGTGTTTTCAATTTCTTAACGATACTTAGGTGTCCCTTTTGTAAAACATTGAATTACGCTGTGGAGTATAGAGGCATGAAGACGAAAGAGGAAAAGGGGCAGGAGCAAATCGTAAGCACTAATTCAGTGCAACATGCTTAGTTAGTCATTCTATTGTCTCTGTTCTCTTGGAGTACTTGGTGCGGGTTTTATTTATTTTTAATTTTTTTGGGTATTCTTGTATTGTGTTATAGGAAGAACAAAGGGTGATAGAAGCAAAAATAAGAATGAGACAGCAAGAAATTCAAGATGAAGAGGAAAGAATGCTAAAAAGGCAAGATATGAGCTCTTCTAGCAGGATAATTGAACCAAGTGAGGCTGAGTATTTCTCCAGAGCAGGTATGTGCCGGGAAGGGGCAGAAATAGAATTAGTTGTTATTATAAAGTGGTATTTTTGTTATAATGTTGCTAATTGTTATTAGGTATGTGCCGAGATAGGAATTTAAATGAATGCTAGTGTAAATAAGCAGGAAGGGAAATATAGTAAGCTTATCATGGATGAATGAATAATTTATCCATCTTCTATCTAAATTCTTTTATTTTTGAAGAATATAACATATATATATGTATACAGCAAATACTAACACACACTCCTTACCTTTGGTGAAGTTTGAACCCTTTCGGTTTGCTGCATCTCTATCATTCTTCTGTTGCCAGTCTTTCCTTCATCTTTAAAGGAGTGGTTTCATTTGATATTTGAGCCTGTTTGATTACTAGAGCATTATCAATGCTATGCATTTTTCTTGGCGGAAAGACTACATCTAGTATCCAACCAATGATTTGGGTGATGTGCGCTGAGCTCTTATTTGCAAGCGTGGAAATCAATCTCACAACTGTCATACCAAATTTCTTGAAGCAAATAAATTTTTATAGAGAGAGATAGAGGAAGTTTCAAATATAAACCATGGAAATCTTAACCGTCCATCCTAGCCTGATGATTAAAAACTATCTGGTTATATAAATATCTAGATTGTTTCCTAATCTAAAGTAATGATTATAACTAATGAACCCTATCATCTTCCATTAATATGTTGATGATGATGAATGAACCCCGATCATTTTCCATAAATGTGTCGATTGTTTCCTAATATATAAATCTCTCTCTCTCTCTCTCTCTCTATATATATATATATATATATTCATATTAAATAAAAATCAATACAGGTAAATAAAATGAAATAATCCAAGGGAAATAACAAACAGTTTTTGGACAATTAATAATTTGGAAGCCTAGATAAGTGAGTTGCACAACAACACTCTTCATTGTTATTGTAGAAGGGGCTTGATGAAAAGTTGTTGTAGTGCTTAAGGGTATGGAAGCTTTGTTAGATTTGGAGAAACCCAATAGAAATGAAGGTCCCTCTGGGCATGTTCCAATTAGCACAGGGGTTAACATTGAAAACTATTAGTGACCTTGAGAAATTAATAGAGGAGGGATTGAGGAATGAATGTTGATGGAAACCTATCTCATTTAGAGAGGCTATTTGGTAACTGAATATCATCCCATGGGAGATAAGGAGAAGGCAAATGCTGCTAGCCGGAAACTCACATGATGGAAACAAGTAAGTTGCTGCTAAACAAGGTAGAAGACCCAAAATTAGTTCTCATTAAAAAGTTGACCAAAGAACAGAATGCAAATTAGAAAGAAACGATGATTATGCTTTCGTATGAGTAGCCATATTGTAGCAGATCATCAAGGCAAACAGCCACACCTATTATGATTCAACTACAAGAGGTGGGAATAAATTAGGAGAAGAAAGAAGAGCAACAAGAAAAACTGAGACTATTGAACTTGCTATCATTGCATGCTTTCTCTAGACACGTGTCCACCTCTTTCATTTGAGTTATAGGCATGTATGAATGTAACCCCATAAGTTCAACTGATAGTGGTTGTATGGGAAATTTTATTGGCACATAAATTGCTAGGAGACCGAGAGTGAAGCAATAATAGAAGCATTGTGATAAATGGTATGAAGTTTTGAAAGTGTATATCAAGAGCTGGTGGCTTTCGAAGGCCTCCTTCCACACTTCGGGTCAAAAGCATTACATCCACTTGAAGGAAATGACACAACCCCTAAGTATTAGGCCATATGTGCGAAATTCTGAAACTGAAAACATATGCTTCCTAGCTCTCTTTGTTTTACATCCTGATGGAAGTTGGAGTGTATGTTGATTATAGAGTTCTAAGTTAAGCTATGAAGGACACATTCCCTGTACCTGTAATAGACGACTTACTTGATGAACTCCATGGCGACGAATGGTTTCCCAAGCTGGATTTAGGTCCAAAATCACGGATATTGTTTGATGATAATGAACAGTTTGCTGTGTATTCTCTGTTTGCTGTTTTTTTTTTTGCACTTCAAAGGAGTGTTTTTATAGTACGGTTATTATGGTGTAGTTTTTTCCCTTCTTTCCATTAATATAATAAGCTTTATATATGCAGTGACATCTTCTTCTGAAGGTGAGGAAATTGTTTCCGTTCCACAGCAGGGTGCCACAACAGTTAGACATCCTCAACGCTTGAGGGAGAATAGGTATGCCTTTTTATTTTATTTTAAGAGCTAAAGGAATTCGGAATGTTTATGCTAAAGGAAAGTTATTGCATTTTCAGAGCTGTCCAAGCTAGTCTCTTTGATGAATTAGATCATTTCGGTGACACTTAGGCCCGTTTGGTTTTACGGAATGTTTTTGAGTGATTTGGCTTTTGTGGAAGGATTTGGAATTAGAAGGGTTTAGAATCTTTTGTGTGTTCGGTTTGTAGGATTTGGAATAGAATTGAATTCCATTATTTATGAATAAATTATTAAAAATAATTAAATTACCTTTTTATTAATTGAGTATTACAAACAAGTATTTTTAACGTAATTTAAAACATTATTACAAACAAATCCTATGAAATCCTGCAAAATACCAACTACCCCCTTGGGATTCCGTTAAAATGCCGGGATTTCAATTTTGAAGACATTCGAGGATATTGTTTTCTTCTTTCTTCTCAAAATAATTATCCTGTATCGGCTTTGAATATCAGTTCTGCTACTAGCTATGTCTACCTATTACTTCTTTTTCCAGTGTTTAGTACCTCTTGTAGATTGTTATGTTGTTAACATATCTTGAAAAACAAATAAATCCATATTACTTTTGAAGTTAAGAACGGTGTGTTTGACTCACAAAGTCAAAAGAGCGCAATTTAGTAGGATGGATTCACGGAGGTGGCATCATTGTTGGTGTTCAGTAATAGCCCATTAAGGTAGCTTTGTGGATATTGAAATCCTGCCATGGTTTTGAGTCATCTTGTTTATGTCATTGATGGTTATTTCTTGAACTCCCAACCTCCTACAAGATGCGAGCTTGCTAATCTTGCTAGGGACTAGTCCATTTTCGACATTTGTAGACCTTACTTTGACCAACCGAAGTAAATTGGCTGATAGATTGAACCTAAAACTATGAAGTCAAACCTTTTTGGTTGAAAGTGTATGAAATTATAATCATCAAATATCCAAGGGAATTCAAAGATCCATTTGTGATCAAGCAAGAAACATAAGAATGAACTCAAATTAGCAAGCTTTAGGTACATCCAAACATTAAGCATAATTAGCATCTAATTAGTGCATCTTGCTTAACAAGTAGAGTTGATCTTGATATGGGATATCTGATCTGAATGCAGAGAGGATGAGTTTGATCTTGATCCAGAGAACATAATGCTTATGGAAGCCATCTGGTTATCATATCAGGTACTTTTGAGTTTATAGCTTATAAGTTCAAATTTCTTGTATTTTATTTATACATTTTAAGATCTTTGTTGTTGATGGTTTGATGGGATTGCATAGGAGGATGGGAAGCACCAACACCATAGCTCTAATTATGGTGATGCTGCCCAATTAGCAAAATACGCAACAGAAGTTCGTGTTTTGGCATCCATGGCCCCACAGGCTGCAGAATCGTCATCTTCAACCTCATCACCTTCTGGTGGTCTTGCATGTGCTATCGCCGCCCTTGCTGAACGCCAGCAAATGGGAGGAGAATCGTCCACTAATTACAACAGTTACGGTGGGAATATATCAACATACAACGTGCAGCATCCAACAGGGTTATCACTTGATAACCATCTGGGAATAAGATCAGAGGGAGAATGGGTGCAAGATTCTTCAGCGATGGGTGAAAATGCATATGGGTATGATAATTCGAACGCAATAGATGATGATGGAAGCAGATACGGGCAACAAGATGATGAGGAGGAGATGGAGAATGGTTTCGGAGGAACCATAGTTGTTCCTGAGAGCTTTGAAGAGCAGATGATGCTAGCCATGGCTGTGTCGCTGGCAGAGGCTCGAGCTAGGACTAGTACACCAGAGGTTGCATGGATTTAATGTGTGTTTTATACGGTATGTAAAACAGAAAAAGATAAAAAGTGTAGATGATGTTCTTTGAATCAACAGACAGACATATAGCTCTCCTCCTGATATTTCAGAGTCTGTATGATTGTTGTTGATGGGAGATTTGGGTTTGAAAAGTAAAGTTAATCATCATCTTTTGCCATAAACCATGCATTTACTCAGTAACATTTGTCATTGAATTGAATCTTTTTTTGGTTTAAAGAACTCAAGAAATTACATTGATGAACCACAGGGGTGTTTCTAGTAATCCATTAAATAACACAGAACTTACATAGTTAGATGTAGGATTTGAATTAAGGACTTGACAATTAAGAAAACAAAACCAAAAAACATTGTTAAACATAGTAGTAATACGATGTTTATATATATGCTACATGATGTTACAGGCAGCATTGGTATTTTCATCACTAAAGGCAGCACCGGTCTGGTGTCCAATTAAACCGGAAGACTGGATCGGGTTATAACTCTGGTGGTTATCGTAACCATGCTTGTAGTAGTTGTACGATGACGACGAAGATGGCTGCCGTGTATAGAACGTCGCTGTGGGGCCACCGGTGCCGGAACCACCATTACCATTCTGTTGTTGTTGTTGTTGTTGAGCATACTGATTAACGTTGTAATTATGGCTGCGGATGTCGGGATTGTAGGGTACGTTCCAGATCTCAGCTCGCCGGCCGGTTTTTCTCACTGTCTTCAACACCTTTTTCTCGTCGGCATATCCCGTCACCGTCACCTTCTGTAACCCCATGTCTATTTCTACGTTCTCCACCCCTAATTCCAATCAAATAAACCCCAAATTACGATGGTGCTCTAAATTCATAAGGATTAATTTACTGAAGTAATTATAAACATGTACCTTTGAGTTTTTGAAGAGATTTTCGGATCTTGTTCTCACAGCCGGCACAATCTACATGTACTTGCAGTTCTATGATCTGTAAATTAAATTAAAGTGGTAAATTATACATGCATGGTGAAGTATCCTTGTACAGTCGCAAGTCTATGAAGGTGGAAAATAAAGCTTACCGCCATGGCTGATTTTATTTGCAGGTCTTTCAGAGACTTTGAGCTTCAATTATATCGACTTTCTTGTGTTCCATTCGTATTAGATACATATATATATATATATATATATGTGTGTGTGTGTGTGTGTGTATGTATATGCATGTGAGCGGGCCTTGATGTGTGGGAGGGGAGGTGATGATGGGCACCGACTTCTTCCTTGTCTTTCGTTTGCAGAAACCTTAGAGAATTGAAAGAAGTGGAAGCAAAGTGAGTTGATGCATGCATACAAATTGGATATAAATTGAATTTTGGATACCAAATAAAAAGCATATAAATTGGATGTTTGACTTTTTGAGGGCAGTAATGCGCAAGTCACGAGCGTTGACTGGATAGAAAGTCAACATCCCTTCACCGTTAAGAAGACGTGTTTCTGTTGTATTTTCATTTTAACAAATCATAAAGCACGGGGTTTAAAGAGGTTCACCCCTTTGCGGGGTCCAACGGACAGAGTCCCTTTCCCATAAATCTTGAGTGTGTATTTAGATCGTCACCGAGTAAATTCGGTGACCAAGAAGAGAGGTCTATACCTACGAACCCAGATTCTAACAACATTCTTGTTTCATCATCGGCTCGTGATCGTATGGCTTTCAACCATTTGAAGAACTACAAGTCTATGAAGTTTGATGAGTTTGTAAACAACGATAAAACAACATTTGACGTCTAATTGTTGAAATTTAACTTTGTAATCATCGAGCATCTAAATCCAACATCGCCACCGGGTCAAATATGTCATCATATTAATTGCTCCTTATCTTCTAATACGATTGGTTACGAGCACTGACCTGAAATGAAAGTCCATCTTCAAGAAACAATACCTTAAGATAAATGTTCTCACGATTATCACAATATATGGAGTTCTCAAATGATTAAGTCCATATATATATTCAAGACCTAAACTGAAGTGCACTGTGCACACAAACCATCAGCTTCCTCTTTCTCTGTTGGTTTGGTAAGAAAGAGGAATATATCATTGTTGGCATAGAAAAGAAAACTTACCAGCGAGGAAGATCGATAGATTTTAGGGCGGAAGAAGCTTTGAAGCAAAGAAACAAGAGTGGGAACTGGGAAAGATAAGGAGGTGTTCACATGGATTCCATCTTCTCCATTGGATACATGGACAATACCGAGAAGAAACCCTACGGTGAAGTGTTATGGTAACGACCATACAGCAAAAAGCTTTCAAGTTTTCCATCAAGACAGTCAAGCAACTATTATAGTTGCATTAGCATCAACGCGGGCGTGTGTGTATATGAATCGTTACCTACTATTAAGTCTTGATGATGTAAATAACATGTTAGAACATACCTTTATCAGATAATTCAAGTATAGAATTATACCATGATCATGTATATATACATGGAAAATGCACATTGCAATATCACCTGGTTGTTTCCGTTTTCGGCTTATAACCAGCATCCCCACAAGAACACGAACCATCCTTAAAAAGATGAAAACTTTCGGTATCCCTAACACCAATCTCTCTCCTCACAACTTTGGAAATAAACTTCACCATCTTATGACAGTTTTCACACATATAAAGATTTTTTGTTACTCGTATAGGCATGCCAGGAGCGGTATTTATGAGCCCAAATCCAATCGCCAATCTTTCACTATGCCCACACAAAATCTCCGCTTTCGGCCCATCAACTTCATCGAATCCAACTTCTTCCATCTTCTCATAAAAACCATCCAAAACTGCACTTATTTCTTTCACTTGAGGATGGTTTTGATCACCAGTGAGAAATGCATGGATGCTTCCCTTCACTTCCACCCAACTGCACCCAGGATCAACGGTCACCCCCTTTTCTCTCATCAATTTTTTCACCCTCCCAACTTCATCCCATTTGCCAATATCAGCATAGAAATCACATAAAAGTCCGTAATATCCGACACTCTCAGGTTCATCCATATCAAGTATATGTTGGGCTGCAACTTCCCCTAACTCAACCTGCTTGTGGATCCTGCACGCATTTAACAATGCTCCCCATATCGCTTGATCTGGTTTTATAGGCATTTTTTCAATGAACCTGTGAGCTTCTTCAAGTTTCCCAGCTCGTCCAAGTAAATCAACTACACAAGCATAATGCTTCACGTTTGGGGCAAGACCATAATCCTCTGTCATACGGTTGAAATAGTCCAAACCATTTGCAACCATCCCGGATCTACCACAAGCACATAACAAAGAAATAAAGGTAACAGCATCTGGTTTTACATCCATTTTGTTAAATAGCTCGATGGCATCTTTGCCTTGTCCTCTTTCGGCATAGCCGGTTAAGAGTGTATTCCAAGAAGCAATGTCTTTCTCGTGTGAATTGAATTGGTTACATGCAATATCCATCCTCCCACATCTTACATACATGTCGAGGAGTGCGTTAGGTAGGAATCCATCAAACCCGAGTCCAATTCTTAACGCATAGGCATGTATCTCTTTTCCGGTCATCAGAGCTCCTATCCTACCACAAGCAGAAAGGACGGAAATCAAGGTAATTGAATTCGGCATTAAACTAGCTTTCATCCTTCTAAAGAAACTAAGGGCCTCAACGCTCCGATTGTTGATCCGGAGACCGAGTATGATTGAAGTCCAAGATATCACATTCTTGTTGGGGATGAGTTGGAAGACTTCCAAAGCCTTATCGATAAGTTTACATTTGGAATATAGATCAATTAAAGCGTTGGTGACTATGACATACGATAAAAGTCCAGTTCTCTTGGCAAACTCATGTAGCTCAATACCCATATCTAAGCGACCTAATGAAGCGCAAGCGGAAAGAACACTAGCAATGGTGATTTCATCAGGCTCAACGCCTTCTGTCTCCATCTTCTTGTAGATTTCCACGGCCTTTTCAGGTAACCCGTTATTCTCATAACCTGAAATCATGGATGTCCACGATACCACATCCTTTGATTCAACTCTGGTAAAAACCTTTTCTGCTTCTTCCCAAGCTCCAATGCTTGAGTAAAGTTGTATTAATGAATTACTAATAGAAACATCCTTTCCAAAATCATGTTTTGCGGCATACCCATGAACAACCTTTCCTAATCTCTCGTCGCCAATGAACTCGCAAGCTGAGATTACACTAGTCATAGTCCTCAAATCCGGAACCACAAGGTAATCAAGCATGTTAAGAAACAATTTAAGCCCTCCCAAACACTCCTCGTTTTCGAAGTATCCCGAAATCATGGCATTCCATGATATTCTATCCTTTTCAGGCATTTTATCAAACACCAACCGAGCACTATATACATCCCCGCATTTCGCATACATAGTCATCAAAGAGTTATTCACATCAATATCAGATTGAAACCCAAATCTCATTACATGAACATGAACCTCTCTGCCCCTACCTAAATCTGGTACGCCCCCACAAGTCCTCAAAACACTAGGAAAAGTATACACATCGGGTCTCTGCCCGTCCCATAGCATTCGATGATACAAATTCAACGCCTCATCAAAGTATCCAGCTTTAGCATACCCACCGATCAAAACATTCCAAGAAAACACATCTCTCTCAGACATTTTACCAAACACATACCATGCGTCGACCAAATTACGCAACCTAACAAACATGCTCAACAACGAGTTCCCAAGTCTGATACTCAAATGGGTTGTCGAATTGGATATTAAAGAGTACACTTGACACCCTTCAGGCTCTGCTCGTTTCCGCTCGCAGAGTTCGACTAGCGAGATAAAAGTTTCTTCATCGACCGTAAGTTGGAGTTCTTTCATTGTATTTAGCTGTGTTAGAGCTTGTTCTAGATTCCCACTAAGGCAGAGGTCGCATATTACGGAATTGGGGTCTCTAGTGTCGATGGAATCAGTACTGGCTACGGATATTTCATTGTTCTTCTTTAGGGAAAGTTTACAGGTCCGTAATGAAATTGAGAACTTTATAGTATTGGACATACAGTTACGGTGAAGAGAGTTGGAAAGATCGGAGTGACATGAAGCAACTGTTGGAGGTTTAGCTGAGACCGCCATTTGCGAGATACCTGCATAAAGAATTTCAGTGTTTAAAGTATCAAAGATTCGCTTGTATGCAACGTCGTTTCATGATAACACGCAAAAACCTTTTTAAAACAAAGGAAAAAGTTCGCAAGGTATCATTTATTACTTGATACCGAAATTGCAACAATTTCTTCCTGTAATTCGCAATCGTCGTTCCAATAAGGTATGCATCAAACGGTTTCACTACTTTTTTCATGAAGATTCAGGAAACCAAATTCAAAACCAACTAATCATCCGCATATAAAACGGATTGAAAACATGATAAAAGCCACTTACAGAACAGATTGAAGCACTAACCTGAGGAATCAAACAGGGCGAGGTGAGAGAATTATCAGCCAGGGAATTTTGTTTTTGGAGCTTGCAACTGTGGATACTAGATGCTAAAAGATAGGAATTCAAAGGGTGTTTGGGATTGTTTCGTAAAAGCAGATATTAAGTTTAAGTTCTCCTTGTTACCGATTTAATTTTTTATTACCTATTTAATATTGGTATAAGTTGTTTATCAAAAACTCAAAAGTGTTTATTACCGATATCATACCGAAATAAGTCAATAAATTATTTTTATAAGTAATTCCAAACACCCCCTAAGACTCGTCGTAGCCTCATGTCATCTCCTCACTTTGGGGCTGTTTACCAAATTTTCTATTAAGTCCTGTATGGATAAATTTGTTTGTCTGGATAAATTTGGGTTGCTCTTTACTTTTCTATCTGAATCAACAGTCTGAATAACAGAAATGACCAATTTACCCCTGAGGATTAACTATGGGCTGTTTAGTATATTGTTGTTCATTTTTTAAGGCAAATGATATTTCTGAAAAATAAAATATTCGAGCTATGTATTAAATAGTTGCTCAAACAACAGTGGAAGGAAAATAAAATTACAACCACATAACATAAAAAAATTAATAAAATGGCAAACATAAAGAACAAATGAAGAACAATAGTGATATGCCATGGCTCATAGTTTTTCAACCTTAAACATAAATCTTTCAAACAATCTTGGACAAAAAACAAGTTGGTGTAGCAGAAGGAAATGCAAACTTGAGAAGGTCATGCCTTATGGTTTTTTATAAGCAAAATCACTACCGTGAGTGAGGCTTCCTGTAGGCTATAGTGATTTAAAATCTAAGTATCCAACAGCATAAAAGTTTAATTGATGGATCATAAATTCAACGTCAAAAAAGATGGATTACTTCACTTTTAGCAGCAGAGCAGTAGCGATGGGGACAGAGAGGGCGAGGGTTTACAGAATAGATGAACGGTAGCAGCAATCGATAATCATAGAATAGATGAACATGACAAGCAGCAATCGAAATCATAGAATAGATGAACAGTAGCAAGCAGCAATCGAAATCATAGAACAGATGAAGAGTAGCAGCAGCAATCGAAATCATAGAACAAATGAAGAGTAGCAAGCAGCAATCGAAATCATAGAACAAATGAAGAGTAGCAGCAGCAATCAAAATCATAGAACAGATGAAGAGTAGCAGCAGCAATCGAAATCATAGAACAGATGAAGAGTAGCAGCAGCAATCTAAAAGAAAATAATCGATAGATGAAGAACAGCCCCTTACCTTTGCGATTTGAAATCGGCCGAATAGAGTTCTAGACAGGAGAGCGTCGATAGATGAAGAACAGCCCCTTACCTTTGCGATTGTAGCGAGAGAGCGTCGATTGTAGGGATGAAGGGTATGGAATGTCTTTTTCTTGGCTTAACGTGGACAACCTCTAGTTTTCATCTAGGCGAATAAGCCCGAAGTAAACAGGCTAAAATGACTGTGCGAATAAGCCCATTTATCCGGTAAGCTCATTAAGCCACAAGTAAACAGACCATTTGTCTAACATTATGTTAAAGCTTCTGACATGATATTTGATTTTTATTTATTTATATTATTTGTTAACTTTTAATATATAATTTAATTTAAATGGTTTATTATCATTAATTTATTGAGTAGTAGTAGAAAATATGTGTTTACTGTATATAACATTAGAGTAAATTCACTGTTGGTCCAGGTGGTTAGCTCAAAATCTGGGTATGGTCTCTATTTTGAAATAACTACGTTGAGGGTCACTGTGGTTTGCATTTCGTTTCGACCTAGGTCCTTACCACTAACGGAATTGATAAAAGTCTGTTAACCTTGTTAACTTTAGAGACATTTTGGTTATTTTATCTATTTTATTAAAAACAATAATTTTAAACTTAAAAGATTTTATCCTCCACTTAAAATAAGACGTGTGTCATCCCATCCCTCCTCCCTCAACCATAATTTTCTCTCTTCCATTTCCAGCCATCTTTTCTCTCTCTCCCAGAGAGAGAGAGAGAGAGAGAGAGAGAAGTTGCAATGGTGGTAGGGGAGGTGAACATATGAGAACAGAGGTGGTGGGAGCAGAATGAAGAAGGTCGGTGGTGGTGGAACGGATTGAAGAAGGTTGGTGGTGGTCGAACAGATCGAATAAGGTCGTCGGTGAGGTGGTGAACGGAGGAAGATGGCTTGTCGTGGGGAGATGAACTCGAAGGGTTTGGGAAAGAAGAAACAACATGTAACACGTTATCTTATGTGATTTTCATGTCATTTTAAGTTTGACAAGTCAACAAAGAAAAACTTGTTCATAAGGTAGCAAGTTATCCAATGTTATAACGAGTAAATTTTTGAAAGTATGATGTCTTAATAAAAAAATATTTTAATAGTATATTGTTGTTATAAAAAAAACTGAAAATATAATATTATAATAATAAAATTTGTAAAAGTAAGTTGTTATTTTAAGCATTTTGCTCTATTTTATATTATATATATAAACAAACAAAAAGGTATAACAATTTGCCCTTGATTAACGGACTTTATAGGTGTTAGTAACACGAACCCAACTTGAAACAAAATGCAAATCACAGGGACCTCAGTGTACTTGTTTCAAAATAGGTAGGATACCCAAATTCTAACCTAACCACAGGGGCCAATGGTATAATTTACTCATAATATCATATAAAATATAGCAATTTGTTGCTTTAAGTCACGCCATGAAAAACGTCATGACCACACCTCATGCTATTTAAAACCTTGAATATTATATATAAAACATATGTTTTATATTATTATTCAACTAGTCAATAATAATAATAATAATCAATTTAAATTATGTTATATATTAAAAACATAAAGGACAATCAAATATCCCATTGCAAAAACCACGAATTGGACTATAACGTGCCAGAAGCTTAACGTGACGTGACATAATCCTTGATCCACTACGCGTTATTACGACTGTTGTGGCGAGTCTTTTACAACAATGCTCATGATTCATGGAGAAATGGATTGAAGTACAAATTTAATATTAATAAGTACTTTAATTGCAAATAACTGTGTCGGGTTTAACAAGTAGGTTGGGTTTGAGATGAGCCTAATTAATACCGTCCTCACTTTAGTTGATTTAGTTAATTTATAAACCAATGACATCTTGAGTTAGCTCGCTATTCATTCTACTTTCAGGATTTAGTTGGAGAGGTTGGTCGTATTTCAGCTTTTTGGGCACTCTTAAATAATGATGGATTCAAAAACTCTAGAAAAATATTTGAAACCAAATGAGCTCATTCGAGTCGAATAAAATTCGGGTTACGAACTACTGAACTAGTAAAAAGTAAACCATTGAACTAGGAAATTTGATAAGTACTAAAATTATACATTTCTATGTCAAGTTTACCCTAAATTAAATCGCAAGGGTGGTGCATGATTGGTTTGAGCTTGACTCCAAAGGTCAAAAGTATCTGGAGGTCCCAGGTTCAAATCCAAGGAGGAATAAAAATCCCTTTATGGTCACGAATGTTCAAATGCGGTGACTCCGGGCTATCTGCAAAACAGATAGTCGCCCTGAAATTAGTCAGCTTGCATAGCATGTTGGATATCCAGGTTAATTAAAAAAAATATAGATTAGATGCTAAAAATACCCATATTAATTTAAGTTGATATTTAGTTATTTGAAGCCATCTAATTAAAATAAAAAGAAAATAACAAAGTTTTATATTTTATTTTGCATAGTTGGCAGCCATATGAAAGGAAAAGAAAAAAATTAATTATTTGTTTTTTTGTTGTCGGACGACTTTCTGGCAGCAAAACTCGCTCCAAAATCCGTCGTAGACAGTGTTTCAAGACCAAATTTGTCCGCGTAAGTTTTCTGACCACTTCCTAACCTGCGCCAGCCTCTGTTTCGTTGTCTCAATGTCGGGTTCGAGCAACTTTTCAAGCGGGTTTAACCCCATCAAAAGTCACTGACATCCATAGATCGTGGGTTTTTGTTTAATTTCGAGCAGTTCTGTTGTTGGGGTATAAAAAGAGACTGATTAATTGTTAAGGGGGAGGATCGATCGAGGATTTTCAGATAACAATGCCCAGGGTGGTTGTTTTTTTGATTAACCTGGATATACAACCCGCTATGCGAGCCGACTAATTCCAGAACGACCACCTGCTTTGTAGTAGCCCGGAGTCACCGCATTTGAACTTCCGTAGCCACAAAGGGATTTTTATTCCTCCTTGGATTTGAACCTGGGACCTCCTGGTACTTTTGACCTTTGGAGCCAAGCTCAAACCAATCAGTGACCACCCTTTAAAAAAACTCTCTAAAATCGTGCTCCTAATCTGAAAAACAACCCTGGGTGTTGTTCTCTGAAAATCCTCGACCAATCCTCCCCCTTGATGATTAATCAATCTCTTTTATACCCCCAACAACAGAACCACTCGAAATCATATAAGAATGGTGGATTTAATAATGCGTTTGTGTCTAAATATGTAACAATCTCTAACGTAACATGATTGCCACTAAAGCATCACGTTTGAACTTTGGCCTCTTCAACCACACATTTATTCTTAGCGAAATCAACAAAATAAAGATAAGAATCATCAGCCATTTATGAAGTGTTTTTGCGTTAAAATTAAATTCTATTTACGTTGGGGGCAAGTGCCCCCTACCCCATACATGTAAATCCGCTAGTGCCCCTAAATGAATGTAAGGTCATTGCTCCTTGGTCAATCATATGCCTAATAAGGCATGTTCATGAATTGTGTTGATCAAATCAATACTGAATCTTGGCTTTTGAACATCCTCGATTTACCCACAAGCTCCTCTGTAGAAAATCATCGTTCGGTCTTCTGTATCCTCAGCTCTTGATCTTGAGGATGATCATATATAAGTCTGTGAAGTTCGATGTGTGTGTGAACGACGAAGACCACAAATGCCATATCAACCTTGATCGGCTATTTATGCTAATAAAATGCACTTTTCATTTAATTTGTCGAAATTCCTGAACTTAGATTATGTTTTTTTGTCTTAAGTTCAATGAAAATTCATATTTAAACAAAATGAAAATTTCAACAAGAAAATACGCTTTATT